GGCGGTCGCCCTCAAGGCGGCCCCAGGCACGCGGCCAGCCAACGGGCAGGGCACATCTGCAGCAAGGGCCACGCGATCCACGATCAATGCAATTCCAATCGGACGGATCGACAGGCCAAGCCAGGGAACGGGGAAAGCCTGGCGGTGCCCTGGGGAGAGTGCCGGATGCCTGGTAGGGTTTTGAAGCGGCGATTTGTTTCAAAAAATTGTTCCCATCGACGGCAACCCCGTGCGCGCTCAAGGCAGCCTCGCCGTTCCTGACAAGCCCCCCCGCTGTGATTGGGATCCTCGCGACGATCAACGCCCGGGGGCGAAGAACGCACCGCCCCGGTCCAGCCTGGTCCACAGGCGGCCCCAGACTGGCCAAGGCCGGGGCCAAGGCTAACCGAAGGCGGCCACGTCAGCAGCGGGCGTCCGCGGGCGCACGGCGACCGCCTTCCCGCCTTCCCGCTCACCTGTGGGGGCGACCCGGGCGACCGCGCGGCCGGCGGGCATCTTCGCGGCGCTCATCATCTGCGGGCAGGTGCCAACCAGAGCAGTCAGGGACTGGGTGCCAGGCGACATCGCCTATCCGGAATACGGCAACCCCCGGCGGGAAGGGGCGCAGATCGAGACCACACCCTTTCTGCGCGACCCGCGCTGATTGGCCTGCGGGCACGGTGCGAGACGGCCGGGGCAGATCACAACGATGATAGATCCCGAGGGGTGGGCGTGAGCGCGGCTGTCCTGCCCGCCACACACACCCGCCCTCCCCCCCGCTCAATCGAGTCGCAGCAAACGCCCTTCATCCGCGCCCCAGCGTTTGGGCCGGGAAAGAGGCCAGCGACCTCGAATCGCCTTGGCCGCCCGCCGATCGATCCGCGCCGAAGGGGCTCCGCTCGGCGGGCTCTGATCGACCCTGCGACTCCCCGCCACGCGCCCAACGCCGGCGGACGCATCTACCAGCCCGGTCACCACCGGATCAGCGACTAACTCTGCCCCCGCGGGTCGATTGGCGCTGATCCGGCACGGCGATAGACAGCACCGGGCGCGAGACCTCCCCCCGTGCGTTGCCCTCTTGGCCGTTGGGCGGCTGCGGCCTGTCCGCATCCGATGTTGGGCGCGGAATCGTCGGCGCTGCCGCCGACGATCGCGGCGCTGGAGCTCACCGTGCTGCTGGCTCGTCGGGCGAGGGCTGGCGAGCGGCGGCGCGGGGCGGTGGCCTCCTGGGACGTGCGTGGGCCTTTCGGTGGGCAGAGGACAGTGATACTGTGCGTGAGTGTTGGGGGGCCATTTGTAGGCGGGCTGCCGGCAATGTAGGCTCGGATCCGGTGACAGCGTCGCTCGTCAGCCGTGTGGATCGCCTCCTGTCGGACAAGACGCGGCGTTGTAACTCGAGCCCGCTGCTGGTGGAAGACTTTGTCGCGTGAGAGCATCGGGCAGTCGCTTCTGCTGCAGAGTGCGTTGATCCCTCCTCGCCGTTCATGACTGTCGCCCAATTGGCACCGACCCTGCCCCCAATGCAGTGGCGCCCGCCATTAGCGCTCGGCCTCCTGGCTTTTGTGGTACTCTTTTGTAGCGGAGAATGCCGGCAGTGGGCAATCACTTTGGGCAGGGAAGAATTGGCGCAAATGTTGAACTGTTGGCTGCGCGATCCTAATTAGGATGCAACCGCCCCTTCCTTGAGGCCAACACCGCCCTGCCAGTCACCGCCGCTTGCGCACTCTGTCCGCAAGCAACGGACCACCAGACGAGAGCCATGCACGCAACCGTGCTGGCAACCGCCGTTTTGGCTCTTTCTGCGGCGCTGCACGGCACCGAAGCCTTACCCCAATTGCAGTTGGCGCCCGAACGGCGGGGCAGCTCATCCCCTCTGCCAATTGTCTTATGGCACGGCATGGGCGACTCCTGCTGCAACCCCAAGAGCATCGGAGGCATCAAAGATAATTTGACGGAGTCCCTGGGTGGGTGCGGCGGGGGCCGCCTTTTTGTGGTCCTCCCGTGGACCAGTTTGCCCGGAGATTGCAGATTGTGGCGGATAGCGGCGGATTGTGGGGATTGTGGCGTTTGCTCTTGCTAGGTGCTGATGTCGAGTGCGTCACACAGGCGTGTTCGTGCACAGCATTGCTACGGGGGAAGGCGAATCAGGCGACGTGGAAAGCACTTACTTCGGAAACGTCAATGAGCAGGTGGCGCGATCGTCACGAATTGCATATGGGAACGGACATCAATCCCACAGCAACGTTTCGTGGATGGCTTTCCCAACTTCTCGTTTGAATCGTTCCTGGGTGTGTCTTTAACTCTGTCGGACGTCGCCCATGTCTTTAGTTTTTGTTCATGGTGTTGAGCGTCACGACTGTGCTTAAACTCCTGACCGTCGGGCAGCCAGGGGAAGAGTCGTTCCTGGGTGCGTCTTAAGGCCTGTCGAATGTCGCCCATGTGTTCTGTTTTTGGTCAGGGTATTGACCATCGCGACTGTGGCTAATATCGTGGCCTTTGGTTAGCCAGGTGTTGAAGGTTTGTGAGGAGCTGCAAGGCATTCCAGAGCTGCAAGGTGGCTTCAACGCAGTTGGATTCTCACAAGGCAGTCAATTTCTCAGAGTAAGGAGACCATCATCAACTGCCTGGTGGGCAAGTTTGGAACGGTTGCTTGCTGTGCACCCAGTGGTGCAGGCTGCTCACAGAGCTAGTTTCCAATTGTCAAATGCCCCCCTGCATCCCACTGTCAGTTTTAAGTGAGACGTAGTAAAGAGAATGTGGTAGCGTCCTGCACCTGCACAACCTTAAGCCTGTGCGCTTGCTTTTGCTGCCATGGAATGCACAGCTGCACAGCGCCACAGAAGTTGTCGACTGCCGCTTGCCTCCTTGACATTGCTGAAGTTCTATCACTGGTTGTTTGCCAACGGTAGTCCAACTGCTGATAACTGTCCTGAAAGGCCCTGCAGGTTTTGTAATTCTGATTCCAGAGGCAGCTGACTGAAAATTGGAAATTGGACTGTTTGCATCGGAAATTGTTACAATGGGCATGAAGTGGTTCTGTGGACATATGAGAGTCGCTTGGGTTCTGAAACTGCTGGAGGGCAACAACGATTTGCACCTCTTAATCCTGCTTGGATAGTTAAGGTCTATAGCCACAAGGATTGCTTTGTGTGCAAGTGACACCCTATGTTGCTTGGAATTGCTGGGCTGTTACACACTTCCTGGTAAATGGAATTCACCTGATAAGTGCACATAGTCCACAAGTCGGCAAGTCTCCTTTACGGAAAGAGTCCATCTCAAGCAAAGGGGCCTTTGTGTGTATATGACATGCCCTGGACGGATTTTGTGTCATTGTTGGTGCCTGCTCTTGGTGTTGGTTCGACCTGGAGTGGAGCCAAACAAGGAGAATTTGGTGAGAGTTGTGACAGGTTTTCACAGCTGCTGCCTAATTGCTGTGGTGAAACAGGCAGTGGTGGAGTACTGCCAGCACAAGGGGCCAAAGATGCACGTGTTGGTTACGATGGGTGGTCAGCATGAAGGCATTTCGAATGTCCCAGGCTGTGCGTGAGTTGTTGATTGTCCTGCTGGATGGGTCGTGGTGCAGTTCGAAAAGGAGTCAAAACGTATGTGAGAGCCCCCTGAGAAATTCAAGTGTCTTCCTTGTGCCATTGCTGTTGGTTATGGCTCCCTGCACCCCCCCAAACCCTATGCAGTACTTATTTGATGCTGTTAACATCAGAGTCGGCCGCAACCCAATCTCCAATTGTTCTTGTTGACAGGAATGAGCATGACAACTGGTGCTGGCTCATGCAAGAGATCATGGAACATGGAGCATACACAACATGGGCCAGTGAACATGTGGTACAAGCACAGTATGTCAAGGTAGGAGACAGATAGCAGCTCATCACCTTGGCACCCAGCGAATCACCATGCTTCCAAGTTGATGCTGCTGTTTGCTGTGCAGGATTGGGAGAATAGAGTCTGTTGTTTCTGGATGTTGCCCAAATTTTATGACTACTGTTGCAGACATATTGTGGGCAGTGGCACCCTGCGTCGCATCCCTGATATGGCAGAGGTTCACCCTGAGATGCCACTCAGACGTTGCTCAGACATCATGATCGGCCAGGAATGTGCTTAAAACTTGCTGATACTGATGTATTTGCGGAAAGATACAGAATTAGTCTTGTTCATCAGCACAGGTCAGCAACTGGGGTCTGTTGTGCAAGCAGTTGTTTGTGCAAGGACATGGTTGTGGCCTTGGCAGCAACAATCGCAAGTATGAGGCTGTCTGCTGTTGACCATTGGCTCAGCATAGCTTGGCATATCACGAACAGGAGCAGATAGTAACAGTGTTGTTGAACAAGAATTTGCGTGCCTTCAACAGAAGATGGACTGGAAACGTAGGCTAGCAGCTGGTGAATTGACCTCAAGGTTATGTGTTTGCATCAGCAATTTTTGACAGAACATCATCCGGTTGTCCATTGGGTGATATCGGGCCGTTTTGCTCGCCTCTCCTGGCAACAGGATGCTGTGCGCAGTTGGATTTAAAGCCGTACATCCATGTTCTGCCTGACAGAGGCGCCCAAACACCTGGCATGCACTGTGACGAAAACGCTTGCCTGAACCAGACTCTTGTGGATTATTTGGCCTTGCTTGTTTTTAGACAATTGATGTTTGTATCTGTGTGCGCAGGATCCACAAGACCTTCATGGCTATATGAAATACAACCCATTCTTGCCAGTCATCAACAACGAGCACGCTGACAAGAATCCTCAATACCGCACCAACCTGGCGTCACTTGAGAAGCTGGTTTTGCTTCGTTTTGAATACGACTCAGTTGGTGGGTCAGGCTGTTGAACTTTCCCATGCAGACGGATGTACCGGATGTACCAGACGTGGCTGCTGAATCAAAGAAGAGGAGGAGAGCACAGAAACTGTTCCGTGATTCTGTGTTTACCAGCAGCCTGCCAACTGGGTGACCGGCATGTACATGTAACTTTGACGGGACTCGCACGCAAGCCAAATGCACAATGAATGTGGCACACATGGCACACATGGAACTCCTGGAGTACTTTGCATCGTCACAGTGCTTTGCTCCACACCCTGCAACGCGATCTGGGAACATAAGTCTATTCTTAATCTGATCCCTAAGCTCTGCAACGCGATCTGGGAACATAAGTCTATTCTTAATCTGATCCCTAAGCTCTGAAAGTAAATCCATGAGTGGGCTGCTTGCAATATTTCGATAAGATTTTGTGCCACACTACTTTGAGCATTGCAATGCTGGCGTTATCGCTGTCGCGTTATCTGCAGCTTCCTGGTGCAGCTGAGAATGGCTGATGCCAGGAAGCCGTGGTGCACATTCCATTGTCTTGTCCTCCCTCACAATGCCTCCATCTGTGTACGACAGTCATTCCAAGGGAATCCAGCTGGTTCTCTTTCTTCAATGGCACCGATCTCATCCCCATGCGCGACCTGGACATCTACAAGGAGGATTGGATTGGCCTGAAGCAGCTGGACGAGCGGGGCGCCATCGATATTGGCGATGTTCCTGGTGACCACATGGAGTTCACAATGGAATGGTTCATGGAGCATGTGGTGGAGAAATACCTTCTCTCGCCAATGGAGGAACCCCACATCAGTGCAGTGTGACATCATTGAGGGCAGAGTTTGGAACTGGCAACTGAGAAATTTGAATTTGTGAGGACGCTTTCAGCCAACGCGGGCAATTGCTTGCCGAAAATATCGCCATCTTGAAGCCTTTGGCGGATCATGGACAGGTGACGATGAATAGTGCTATTGGTGTGACCCATGCCATGGTATCTGCCGACTCCAGGCATTGGGGCAAAGGCATGTCTGACATCGTTTGGGAGGTTGTGTCTTGAATGTGGGGGAGAACAGCCTTGTGCAAGTTTTTGTATGCTTTTGGTAACAGGCGAGCTTTGCAATTGCGTCATAGCTGCACATCCATCTGAAGGAGCGGCAGAACTTCCTTTTAGCGTCTGGAAGAAGCGTGCAAAACACAGACCTGTACACCGAGAGACACAACTGAGACACAACTGTAAGGTGGTTTGCACAGGTAGTGCCTGGCGACCTAAAACTGAGAATGTCAGTCTGCGGAGGGCCACCCGAACGAATGCCGGCCGTGGCGCGCTCCTTCACCGCAAACAGCGACGTGCACGCGACTTGACCAAACCCAACTTTTCCTTCAGAGGATCAACAGCTGGAAGCAGCAATGTGCGGGAAATCCGGGACCGAAACATGCACACAAATGCGGCCTCCGCAAAACAATGTGGTGCGCATGATGGTGATGCACCTTCACCTTCACCTTCATTTCTTCGATTCGGCGGCCAGCTTGTGCGACCGTGCTCGTGAAGCCCAACGGCAGTCTCTCCTGTCGGTGGGACTGGGCCACGGATCCCCGGCGGGAAAGCGAGTTGGTGTGCCACAAACCCCCGGTTCGCTACGGGGCATCCATCTGGTTTTGTCTGCGGCGGGGCGGAACCAATTTCGCTCCCACGACAGCTGGGGCGAGCGTTTCTTCGCCCTGAGGTCATAACCTCCAGGAGGCGGGCAACCAATCTTTGGGCACCGGCCCACTTAGTTGCGGGGCTTCAAGGCGCCGATCGATTCCCGCAATGGCGGCGCTCACGGACATCATGGGCACCCTGTTCGGGATCAGGCCAAGAGTCGTCCAGCCGTCGGGGGACCCGGCACATGTAGGGTACTTGCTTGGTCGGGACGATTGGCGACGGACTGGCACCTCGAGAATCCATAGAGAAGCGCAGACTCAGAACTGGACGTGTTGCGAAGCTGTTGCGCCGCCCTGTTGACGCTTTGACGCCCGCCCAGACGCCCTTTGACACTTAGAAAGGGGCGACAGATTGCAAGGTTTGTCCACACTCGTCCGCACGGCCAGCGGTTGCGGGGGCGGCTTGGTGAGGTGCTTGCGGAGCACGAGCGGCTTCCGCTACTCGCAAAAAACATGCCGGTCGCCAAGACACTGGAACGGCCTTGTGGGCAGGTGCAGCCTGTTGCGAGTTTTGACCGCACCCGTCGTGCACGCCAAACAGATGCGATTGCGCCGTGCTGGGAGGTAGTCATCGCACCGGGGTGCCGGGGAGTGGGCTCCGCACTTCATTCTCAGAATGCAATAGACTGTTGCGTGCTGTTCTTGGTGCCAGGGATCGTCACAGTGAGGGGGGTGACATTCGGATTCCCCGAATACTCCTAGCGCTGAACTTGTCTGCTTCTGAGCATCACATTCGCCACCCGCAGTCAGTCGTGTTTGGGGCCTTACATTACAAAGGTGACAACGGTGAAAGGGGAGACCCGAACATCCTCAGTCCGGAGGGGTGGCATCTGAGTGACCAAACTGTCAAGCGTTTGTGAAGACGTGCACGTGCTGTTCGGCACTCTCACTGCAACCCGCGGATGGGCAGCAGATCTTATCTAGATAAGATACTTTCTCCGCTGCATCAGGTTTCTATTGCCACCCGGTGTGCGCCCTGCGATGACAGTTGACGGGATCGAATTGCCTCAGGTGTCAGAAGTGGAAAGTCTCTTCACGGGGGCAGCTAGGAATCAGACGCCGACCGATGTCGAGTCAGGGGTGAGCACCAGATCATTGGGTCACAGTTTGTGATGAATAACCTTTTGCGTTTTCTCTGTTGCATTCCCGAACGCCACTCAAATGCGGCACCCAATCCACATAGCAAGACTTTTCGAGGATACCATAAATTTTTCAACTCTTCCTAATCAGGAAATGGTACCATTACGCTTTTTCCTCCGTATTTTTGTTTTCAGAGCGTTATTTTATTTTTTTGTGTTGCTCCGCAAATGCCAAGCGTTGCATTACTCTTTATTCTAATGTTTATCCTCGAGAAAAGGCCAATTGTTACTTTGCTATGTGGAAGGGTTAGACCTTTTACAGCATTTGGCTCCAACTTCAACGAAAGTAACCCAGATTTGCAAACAAGATAGTTGTGATGGCGGCTCTTGGCAGTTTGGCACATCCTACATGAATGCCGGGCAACAACAATCAGGCACAGATCTCAACTACGTAAGATGCAATTGATTGACTCGGTAGTCGCTTTAGGTACGAACCAGGGCTTTCCCCTTCGGTCAGTTTCATGCTTCATTGTGGCCATCCCGCAGGAGCATGAGCCAGATCCCGAGGCAGGAGAGGACCACCCCTGGCACTCGAGCTGGAGGCTATATTTCCTCGGGTTTCTTGTGCCATTCATTTGGTGCGCGATGGCGTTTCGAACGCCGAAGACAAGGAAGCAGCTCACGTTTTCCAGAATGGCATTTGTGTCTCTGATGGTGTACGTCCTTTTCTGGTCGTGTGTTTACGTCACCCTTGCCGCTTGTCGGCAGAGCGGGGACTGCTTTTGAATTGGCAGCGTTGGCGGCAGGTTGTAGTTGTCTATATGGGAGGCGCATTCGCAGTGCAGAACTGCGCGTTGCCGCAACCGCTCTGGGGCAGCAGTTGAAAATTGCAGGTCAGTGCGTCACCTTTTGAAAGGTTGACAATTGGGCGCGACGGACGCAGTTTCTGCCACGCTCACACACACCATGCAAAAGGGAAGGCGTGGTGGGCGCAATCGATGGTAGTTTGCCCATTTCCGTATCAAGCAGATCATTGAGTGTGCAGCATCGCCGGAGCAAGTGACTGTGTTAAGAGCTAAGGGGGCCATCTGTGATAGACTGGCACAGGCTGACGTTGGCAGAATTGGGTTGAAAGCATTTACAGTAGAAATCCTCAGGTCTGAAACATGTCCATTATCGCTGCCGAAGCGTGGGATAACTCTGCAGTTGCGCCTATGTCAAGAAACACTGTTGCCCTGGGCGTGTTGAGCTGCAGCAATTTGCGAGGATCTGCGGCCTGCAAGGAATTGGATGCGCATACCCTCTTTGCACCTAGCTCAAAATCAAGGCCTATTCCATGATTTTGTGCAAACATGGCCCATGCTTTGTATGAGCGCAGCATGAGCTGCAGGCTGGGATGTATCCAACTGTCGCATACGCGTAGAGCAGCGTGCCTGAGAATTGCGTACAATATACACATACTGAGATTCCGGCACACATACATGCTGTGTCCTTACATTCTTCGAACAGTTGTCTGTAATTGCATTTAAGGCATACATTGGCCCTGTTATTATTTGTAAATTTCCTCAACTTGACAAAATGCGAATTATTCAAAGGATCGACGCAGTCCTAGAGCCAGCATCGTTCAGCAAATATCCTGTCTGTTGATAGCAATGGCTCCGTCTTCGCGCGATATTATTGTACAGCCTTAGAGTAAGCCTTCTCACACGCAACACGACGATTGGTCAATAAAAATATTAACCAAAGATCTCAGTTTCCATGGAATACACAAGGCATGCCAATTCGTAATATTTCCAAGAAGGCACATCTGCTCCCACTGCCCCACCACCACTGCTACAGTTATTGTAGAGGAAACGCCATGGAGATCCCTTCCCACGGCATTTATTCTACGGTGGCCCCTCTGATTGGCAAGCCTCCTTGCTTGATTTCCTAATATATGGGCTCCTCGAAGGAGAAGCAGGCATTGTCCAAATCAGCGACTGCCAGCAATTCGTGTATTGCAAGGCTCCCTTGCGCAATATCTTGCAAGCAAATATGTTTACACACTGGGGGAGCAAATACAACCAGGGAAGAGGAAGGATCGCTGATCGCACATGCTGACCAATCGCACTCCTAGCTGAAGAAGGCAAACTCTCATTGTTGTGTTCATGCCTTCAACACCCAAAAAGTGTCGCGAATATCCTATTGTTTTCCCTTCACCAATTGGTACAAACTAATTCAAAAATCTGTTGAAACTGAGGGGAATATCTAAATACGTCTTCAGTTCTTCTGCTTGGTGTTCAGCATTGTCTTTGAGATCCCAGTCCTAGCACCGAATCGAAGTTCTCCAATGAAAGAATACAATCAACAAAAAGGAAAAAACGTCCCTCTAATTTATTTGAGAAATGAAATACCCTCTGCACAGATGATGGCATTTTTTCGATAATGAGACAGAGTCTTACCACTCCCTGAATCACACGTACCTAATAAGTGGCGGTTTGGTGCACCGGGGGAACATCTTCCCTAATGAAGCCTCAACCTTTTGTATTCAGTAATTTGAGATTCCCATCTGCCTCTCAAAGCTCTTTTAACAGAACGTCTTCAGCGCCTAGGCAGCCCGCAAAATTTTGCGTACCTGATCTCGAGTACAGCAGATCAAAGAGCGACCGTCAGCGCATCGGCACTTCGAGAAGATTAGAAATGACATAGCAAGAGAAACTAAAGCGATGGATTCATGCAAGCATTACACCTTGTCCATTCCAAACAAACTGGCAGCTGCGAAATCGCGACTCTGCCAATCAACCGATCAATAGTTCTATCGATCAACCATGGCTCAGAAATTGGTGCCCTTTTGGACATTCAGGCAATGGAAATTCGGGTGAGAGCTTACCATGAAACTTGTGATCCCATGCTGTCGGCACTCATCGGCTGCACCCATCCTGGGGTGAGCTGCTGCCCATGAGAACATCTCAATGTCAGAAACCCGAAGTCAATCAACGTCTCCTTCGCAGGTGGTCCTCTTCTTCTTGCCATTGGACAGGGCAAGCATTTGAAATCCATAG